AGATTTCTTGCAATCGTGAGACATGGTGAGCGAGCTGATGTCTCAGATCAGCCCTAAGTTTATTGTTCGAGCAACCGTTGCTGGGCCTTAGACTCAATATGAAGTATAATCAAGAAGGATAATCGGATAACGCACATATTGTTCTTGGTATAATTTTCAAGCATAAATGACATTTATCGATAAGAATGAGAGGCCCATCCCATTGAATATCCGTTGATCATCCATAAATAAATTTCATTCTGATGTAGTCATCAAATTACAACGGTTGTGACCACAATACGGGGTGGATTTCTATGGAATTCCGATGCATTCGCTTGCCGGTGTACGGAAATGGGTTGCAAGAATATTTTAGTAGCTCTATGTTTAAACAAGATTCTCATCGGCCAAAAATATCTTGAAGTGTTTTCAAACACGTATAAGAAGTCTTACGGCTGGATCTAGTTGGTAAATTTCGAAGGAAACACTACCGATAGACGATTTTCATCCTCGGTTACGCATAACAGTGTTGCATGATCCTACATGAATATTGATGTACTGACTTGTTTAGCTTAAGATAATCATCATTCTGATCGTCGTGTCTATCCAAAAATAAGGAAAAGATAAGAAAGGTTGGCTGATCAATATGCAGCTCACAAAGCTGATCCGTATATACAGGGTAACTGGTGAACATCAACGAGAGCTAGAATAATCAAGTTAACTAACGGAGTGTGGAGAACACATGTTTGTTTATGCTTCCCTCGTTCAAAGATTTTAGTCAGTGGAAAACAAAGCAACAAGAAGTTTGCAGATATAAGTTAGGTGACAAATATCAATGGTAATTATAAAGAAGGCAGTGAGGCAAAGGAGTGGAAAGGGTTATAATAAAATGTGCACTCATGTTCTGGAGTAACTTTCGGGTATCAGTACAAAAATCTTAGAAATTAACTTGCAGTTGTTCCTCTTTTTAAATCACCCGGTTTCCCGAGTTGAGGTTCCATAAATCGACTGCTAGCCACCGATTCAGGCAGAATGGCATGAAGCGCAAAGTGTTGCTTTTACTATGGACAACAAATTAGGGTGTTGATGAAGTAAAACAGTCAGTACACTGATCAAGGTTATCTGCTTATTAGAAGTGAGGCGAGAAATTACATGTAGTGTTTGATATGCTGAGCAACTTGAGCTGAATCCCACAAGATTATGGAATTTGTGTTCCGTTTCATACAATCGTCTAAAGAAGAATCAGTGTCTATCGACAGGGTGAGGAATCTCGCATGACTAGCATAATTTCGTATAGGAAAAGCCGTAGTTATCGGATGAGTGGTCGCTTATGCCCTAAGTAATTTCTGTACAGTGTTCAGGAAACCCTATCCATTACCTTTTCATGATAAGAGAGTCTTTCATGAAGTGAGAAGAGAAAAAGTCAATATCCAAGAATTTAACTGCGCTGGTGAGGTACGGACAGTTTGCTCACTTTTAGGACTGGAAGGCTGGGAATTTTAACCTCTAGAGAAAAGCCTTACAAACTCGGTTCAAGACATACTGATCGCAGTGCTCAACGGTTCAATTAAGTGACAGTGCGCACTGGGTGTTATCTGGACTCCTGAGGCACATTTCACGAGTTTAATATTCGTCTGGCGGTAGATCAGCCCACGACGGTCTGTGATTTCCCTACACTGCCTTGATATCCTCTGGGTCATACGTCGACTGGCACATGGCGCTGATTGCGCATCCTCGAAAATTCACGAACTTTTGTCTAAGCAATCTGTTAACATCGCACCCAAGAACAAGTTATGAAGTGTGCTCAGAGATCCTCCTACCAATTTTAGATGTTTAGGTTTAATAGAAGATGTCCTATAACTAATTGAACCGTGGTTTGTAAACTTCACTCACGAGTTCTTGAATTTAGGGGCCTGAAAAACAAACGAAATTATGATGATGACTAAATTTCAGTTTTTTGCCCCGCCCGTTTCATCACACGTGAAGGTATTTTGCTAGCATGTGGTGCAAGTACGCGAGAATTTACTGTTTTTCGGTTAACAGTAATCAGAGCACCAATTGAATAAACTCATTGTTTCAAAAATTTCGTAGTTTTCTCCACGGTTACCAGCTATAGTAAACTGATACTATGAAATCTTTAATTGATACTGTTATAGAATAAATCGCTATTAGAATATTACTGTTAATTAATACCGAATGCTTTAAATAGAAAGGGTATCCTACAGCTATACAATTACCGTCTGTAAATATTTACCTCTTATTCGTCTTCATTTAGGTTGAATATACCAGAGTTTAGGCTATTGGGGAAAAAAACAGTAATTTCGTTTCAACCTGAAGATTCATTCATCCAGTCAAGAAACATTTCATTTCACCATAATAATTTCACTTTACTTGTCGTCTGTCCAATGTTAAGCCCTAATTTGAGCACGTAAATTAGTAATCAAAAATAGAATGTTGGATCAGTGTTTTACAAAAGTGAATGTTCATTCATTGTTCGATAGCTTTTGTGAAACGCCGAGACAAAAATGGATATTTATCATAGTTCATCCCCTGGAAATGCATTTTAGGGCGACTATTTTTTTAACTAATCAATAGCATTCACAGGCACTAATCATTCCTTACCGTAAATGAAACGTCACAGTCTTAGGCGTAACTTACCCACCTCATGGGACAATCTTTCTTTGACCGGTAATGTTAATTATCGCAACTAGATTTTAGCCCTCGGCAGGGTACCAATATAGGAGTTTGCAGTGTTGAAACGGGTAGAACGACAGAGCTTTCGTGTGCGAATACGACTGGGAATCAAAGAATCGTGGGATTCAGAGTGTGGGCAGATTTGAACATTCCAGTAATATAGGGGATAATAATCGTACAAAAGGGTGAATGTTTTTACGAACACGAAAAGCTTTTCCCACTATTTCTCCTTCCGATAAACGTCGGTCGACCGGCCGATCGACCGACCGACCAACGGACGGACCGGCCGACCAACCGACCGACCGCGGCACGACGCCATCAGGACGGTAATGTTTTTCTAATCCAGTTTCACCGTCTTCCATGTCCAAAATTTCCCCTTGTTTTCTTCGTCTCTGTCTGTGTGTTCCTCGGACGGGAGGGTTTGTGTTGAGTGGATAAGTACGAAATGTGCATGAATGATTTCATTGCACGGTCAACTACTACTACCACGACTACTACTGCTACTGCT